TGGCTCCTAGAGCCCCTGGTACCATGTACCAGGTATTACAAGAGTGACTGGTCACTCTTCAAGTAACTTGGGTACACTGGGGTACGTACCCCGTTACACAGCTTATCAACTTGAAATCCTTGAAGTATGCATTGTTAAAAATCTCGACAGAGTTTTGTTAATTAATGTGATTATAGACAAATGTTCTAACACTAATAGCATAGAAACGCTGGTGGCGCATTTCTAGTTACATTTGCTGCCGTGTATGCGCTGCGTGGGCGAGCGTTGCGACCAAATTTCAATTTCAGTGCAAAATGAATGCTGATAGACATAAACCACGACAGCGTGTCGTGGGCTGACGAGTAATGGAGGACTTACGATAATTTGCTGGAGGTGAAAATGTTTTGCCTGGAAGTTGCGATAGATTTCCCGTTTTAGGCGTTTGGCCATTTAGGGTAAGTACATGTTGGGGGGGGGGGGTCATCTAGCCGACCCATTGACTATCAGCAGGTTCATTCTCCATTTCGCATCATCAGTAGAAAGCTTTAAAACTCTTCGTGACATCGCCAAAAACGGTACTACGCCTGTTGAGTACAGAGAGCTACCACCTAGCAACAAAGCCGCAAAATCCCATCTGCCATTCAGGCGCCATCAGCAAGAAGCTTTTGGAAAGGTCATGATATCAAACAATATCTAGCTGCGGACGCCGACATCCTGGGTCGATTGCAACCCGTTCACTACAACCCATTTCAGCGTGGTGGAGAAAGATGAGGTAGCTTTGCAAGTAGAAGTCCGACTGATCTACGACTTATCCTTCTCGGTTGGTAAATTGACAAAACGATTGTCTTGACAAATCTAGTTTACCTGATGTGGTATATTAATACGTATCTGTTCTCGCGGTCCGTACCGAACACTTTGCTGGTACATATCCGAGTAGCCACGTATATATATTAAAAAGGCCGATTTTGATAAATATATTGGTCGTATTAACACTCTTTTGACTCGGGAAACTGCCTCTAGTACCAATATCAACTAGTATTTGGTCTGCGAAGCCTCGTTTCTAGCAAATCCAATTAGCCGTCGTTTGATGACTCTATTTCGGTTGCGTGTATCTAACAGAGGCGGCCCTGATGAATCTACGCAGGTCCCTGCACACCCTGTGCGACGCTCATCTATCTGAACTACCATTGCGTATGTTTAAAACAACGATGGTTCCAGATATTAATCTCTTCATGGAAGTAATCTGACATCGGCTTAGCAGTATTGAATCTGGCTCGCAATGAATATCTTCAAGTCCGTCTCGATAAAGAAGAACTCTATCTCATCTCCGCAGACGCGTTTTTTTTATTAGTGTATAGAGCGTTTATGCATCGCACTTTACTTGTGAATGTAGAGTAATCAGTGACATGCGATACGAAGCAACCGTGCCTAACATTCGTTGTTGAAGTGGCAACCTGTCGGCCGTATCATGGAGCAACCGGTTATCAGCACGCGACTGAAGAAATAAAAAAACCGACAAGGTCTCGAGCGCGTGGCGCGAATTTCGTGCGTCTTTATGAACTGACGTTTGTATTAATTGGAAACAGGCTGCAGTAGTGCTGGGTTGGGGAATGTCTACAGGATCTTCTCCTTAATTTATACTTCAAATCTTTGGCCTCGTCGTCGACAACTAAGTATTGGTCAGAGCGCGTATTCATGCAGTTTCCACCTTGGCTCTCCCAACTCCAATCCAAGCATTTTTTTTCAACCGCTCTGTTCGCCGTATACTGTTTGCGCTACGAGTTCAGTCGCCCAGGAAAATTTCAGCATCGCCTATGCTCTTCAAGATCAGTCATACCTTGTGGAACCATCGGTGCAACCTTGGGTTTGGCGTTGGTTTGCTCCTCAGACGTAAGATCGTCATCTTTGGCATTCTGCTGTACAGTCTACAATATTTGTTTAAACAGCCAAATTCTAAACGAATTCATCTGGTCTTACAGAGCAGCCTCAATTTGACCATTACCGAAGACTGGGATTTATGGGCGCTACGATCTTGGGCTTCTTCTATTTACTGCAGAGATAAAATATTTGGCTTAAGGACGCAAATTTCAACAGTATGCCAACATACACCCGAATACTCGACCACACTAGTAGACAATGCGGCTCATAAAGCGGTGCAACTAAGATCATCGTGCGATTCCAAAACTGCAGCAACGATCAGTTTAGCGGAAAAAAACCACGAGAAAGAGGTGGGTCCTAGGTACCCTGGCGTTCACGCAGAAGCTGATCTCGCTGGTTTGCTGGAGGCTATGACGATCCCGGATAACGCCGATTGCTGGCATAATCACTTCCTCGACGAACATGAGCCGCACCCTGGTCGAGATTGCACGTCGAACAGGATAGATCGCAGGGCTCGCAACCATCCGTACGTTTAGACTCCGCTTCCTTTTCTTGAACAGCAGCACCAATGCGCCAACTTCCGTGCGTATCCTTCTTAACACGATTCAAATACAGTTACACCTGATTTCATCTTTAACATGGTGTAAAGCTCGCCTTCGTTTTGTCGAACCGGTCCGACCTTGATTGTACATCATTGCGTTGTGTTGACCTGGCCTCATTCATGTCGGAGCTGATGCTGAATGTTGTGCACCATTTGCGGGCATCCCAGTCGCGGAGGTGGGTGCTGCCCCAGCGATAGCGTCACTTCCAGCGTTGACATCGCCTCCCACCCATGTAGGAAGTAGAGCGGGGTGTCGCCTCATACACGATCGTGGGCCCTGTTGATGGAAAACGCCAAGCATTCTCCATACTCGTCTCTCAGGCTTTCTGATTTACGTATGCTACATACACCTTCAGGGCCCTCGTCAACGTTTGCACCATTCGCCACGCAGTACCGTTAGCCAGCATGCGGTATGCCATTGTCTCTGGCTTTCTCCTACGATGTGGTTGAACGTGTGGAAGAAATGAGCCATGAAGCACGGCCTCGATCGACGTGTATCGCTTCACATGTGCCGAACCAGCAGAAGACGGAATCTTCGTTGGTTGTCTGCGCTGTCCCAACGCGTTAGCTTTGACCGCCACGTAACCAGTGAAAAAAACAAAAACTCACCCATTTTTCAGCTCCGTGTTCCCCTTGTGCGACTTCGGTAGAGACGGGTGTGGCCTGTCGCAACGTCCTAGCATGGGTACGTCGCCTGAATATTTTCTGGTGTCTGCTCTAAGCGGCGGACGTTCTTTCCCTGTCTCATAATCCGTACATTTTTTCACGTGGCGATGGACACTCCAGAATAGCCAACGTCAGGTGAAAGTACGTTCATAATCGCTGGTACGTCCACCTGACGCACTCCTTCCAGACTAGCGT